TGGCGAAGGTTGTGGCCCAGCTTGTGGGGTTGAAACAATGGAATTGATTTGAGGCAAGGTGTTTGCTTATCATTAAATGCCGTCCCGTTATTTTTGTATTTTGAATTTATTTCAAACATTCTTATCTTTAACGATCCGTTTTTTTTTCAGAAAAAAATACCTCGTGTTACATTTACTACTACGACTTTTGTCGTTGTTACTATTCTTGTCTCTTATCATCATATATATATATGTTTCATGATCGACTTGGATGATTTGGGCTACCCCCATAGCTTAGGAAACCTCCTTTTTTAGCGTGTTTCCACATTACAATCCCATATAATCCCCCAAAAAAACCCACATAAGGATGGCTACAAGTACCAGATACTAATTACTTACTAATTACTATATATCTACTATTAAGCACCAGCAGGATGATGGCTGCAATCCAACATCCCATTAAAAAGAGATCTTCCATCTATTGCTGGGGACATACCCTCCGGTAATTTAACCATTTGCTATTGAACATTGCCCATGAAAATAGTTGTTACTGTACCTATCATTTCAACGGTGATTTTCCAGCTCGCAATGTTAGTTTACCAGAGGGTAATGATGTCTATAATGAAATCCATGAAATCCCTCAATATAACGGGATATAACTTATAACCACCGAAAAATCTATCAAGGGATAGTAGCCCTATTAATAGCCTTAAAATATAGCAATTTACGGTATGGGGACATACTGAGGCAAATCACCTGCCTCGTAGCTGACGGTGCTGCACCCAGCACTGGCCCTGCTTCGGCAGCGGTTGCAGCGCAACAGGCCGAAGACATGGGGAATTTTGGGGAAACCACGGGGATTTGATTCATGACGCTAGCTATATATATATATACATACACACACACATATATATACATAGGTTAAAAATACAGATTTTTGACGCATGAAAAATATGGATTCAGGATGAACAAGTTGGGATTGGAGCAATGAACGTGGAGATTTTGAGGAGAGAAACTGGTGTTGAAGCGTGAACATTGGAGTTTTGAGGGCAACATGGGATGGAACACATGTAGGTAACAACGGACACACCTGGGGGCTTGAGTGATGAACATGCGGATTTACCATCATTTCCCGATTTGAACATCGGGGAACATCAACATCAACAGAAAATCCGAGCAGGAAAGTTGTGCCGCACAAGCATATGTGAATTCACTCTGATAGGAATTCACCAAGTCTTCATCAAAACATCCCACATTTTACCCCTGCCTTGTTTCGTGGCATGAAACATGGACCAGGCCTTGAACATCTCCACTGTCTTTGGATGTGAAGATCCTGGCAGTTTCGATGAGTTGCAACAGGCCCCCTACGGCAGATTGGTGCAATCTGGTGGTTTGTTAATGTCGACCTCCCATCCACTTTCTGCGTCGTTCCATTCTTGTTTTGAAGTGTCATGTTTGCAGGTTGCATTGGGGGTTAATGATGGTTAATGGTTTATCATACATCAACATGCAGCTGAACAAAACGAGCGTTGCGAAGAAAGAAAACTGATGAAATGGAGCGAAAATACACGAATAGACCGGATAGATGCATGATCTACACACACACATGTACACACACATGTACACACACAGATATTTATAGATAGATAGATAGATTTGATTTGATTTGAATCATGCACATGCAAACCTGCACATGTAGACACACACACACATATATATATATACATATTTATCCATGTTTTTTGATACACTATGAGCATCTGCTACAGCACCTTCCAGGAAGAGGCGGCCAAAGATTTGCGCTGCAACTACCTCCTGGCACGGCGGCGTGTGAGGGCCTTCCAGCGTGGCTTGGGCTCGCTGTATCCGTTGGAAAGCTGAGATGAGAAACGTTTGATGTTGGGTTTTGATGGATTTTGCTGTATGTTTGATGGATTTGTTTTTAATGGATGATTGGGATTTTAAAGGGATTTTGATGGACTTAACTTGACTTAACATAGTTTTTTAGGATTTCGATTTGGAATCAGTTGATTACATCTGTGAAACATGGGGTTAGTTAGCCAAGATGTAAATGGTTATAGAGAACACATGAGCTTTTGGCTTTTGGTTACGTTGTATCCGTTTTGACGAGCTTTCTCCTACAGCCACCTCCACTTGCATGAAATATGAGGACGGAGGTCGTGGGTCTTTGTTTCAGGTGCTTGTCGCTTCTGCAGAACTCATGGTCGCTGGCTGGGGGTTTGAACATCACCTGAAAGTGGTTAAAATCGTGGTCAACTCTGAAAGGATCTGTTTTTTTGTCAGAGGAAACCTAAGGAAACCCGCACTTTCTCAGGTTTTTGTTTGTTCTCCGTGACATTCTCCCCAACCAACTTTGCAGCGCAACGTTTCGGTGATGCTCAGCATCGTCACCTAAGGTGAAGTCTGTGAACCCATCAATGCGGCCCTGGGACGGGATTCGTCGTTCTCTGCCGTGCGACCGGAGCTGAAGACCCTCTTCAGCGCCAAAGATGCTCTGGCGCAGCACAACAACTCCAGGACGGATGGGATGGTGAGCTCAGCAGCCACAGCAGCCAGCTGGCTGAGCTACACCTGGGGACCCATGGTGGAAGCAAAGATTTCGTCCTTTTATGAAGTTCATTAAATAGAGTGACTGATAGTGACTGATAGTGACTGATAGTGATCGCGTTCATTCTTGTCACTGGGTCACTGGAGATGAGCTCACTTAAGATGGGCACTAGTTAGACCCATTCATATTCCCATAGAACTGTGGGTTTCAGATGTTTTCAGTACCATCCCATCTTTTTCGGCCCCGGTTTGTCCAGGAAACTCATCGATCTCCTCTACTGTGATGTGACCCTTGGCAGACTATCCCATGGCCCTAAACTGGCCTAAATTATCCCCAAAGGTGATGATTTTCGCGGGATATGATAACCACAGATGGATGATGATGGATGAATAGATTAGATTAGGTTAGATGAGCGATAAGGTCAGAGCAGATTGGACGGTAGATAAATCTCCATACCATGAGATCCATGAGTGAGGACCCAGAACTTCTTTTTTGGCATGTGAGTGCAAGTGGAGACGGCCTAGGATCTGTGAAGATTTTCAAGAAGTGCGGGCCGTGCTCCAAGCCTTGAAAGGCAAGAGGGAATTCGCCAGGATGAGCGAAGTGGTAAACATCGAAGATCCGAAAATGGGGCATACCCACCAAATAATTACCACGTTCAATATAGAGTCAATAGAGTTTCGGATGAGAATCCAGTGGAATTTGGATGGATGATTTTTTTTCACCACTACATTTTCAATTGGAACCCCTGGAAGGCCGAGCTCAAGCCCAAAGTGATGTGGGAGTACCAGGTGGTTTGCAGGTGCATCATGTGCGTCACTGGGAACACTTGGTGGGCAAGGGGCAAGCGCATCGAAAAAAGGTGGGGATATGGGGATAGATTGGGATAGATTGAGGTAGATGCAGAAGCAAGAATGATGGGTGGTAGAAGCTGTAGAACCTGTACCAGCTGTACCATAGATGTCCCTTAAATTCCCACTGGTTGGTTGATGAAGAAAGAGGGGTCAGAAGAACCCCCTTTAACAACAGGTTTCCATGATGATACCCTCTGGTAATTTAACATAGCTATTGAAAATGGCCATTTATAGTGGATTTTCCCATTAAACATGGTGATTTTCCATAGTTATGTTAGTTGACCAGAGGGTAGATGGTATACCAAAGCTGTACCACTGAGGCGATGGATTCAGTCGCGACTTCCAGGACGCTGAAGGTCGTTGTGGAAAGACACTGGGCTGAAAGCTGGTGAAACTTGCTTTGACAATTTGATACCCTTTGGTTAATTAACATAGCCATGGTATAGATGGCCCATTTGTAGATGGTTTACCGAACTATAAAATGGTGATTTTCCAGTTCGCTATGTTAAATAACCAGATGGTAGTTCAATAGCTACTTTGATCAATTTGTCATTCTGATCCATCAGACTATATTTACCTAGCCAGAAGAATCTAAGAAAAGGCAAGGGATCAGTAGGGCCTCCTCAAAGGATCTACAAGGACCTCATTGAAGGAACCTCCGTACAGGGGCTACCCTTGAAGGATCTTTAAAAACTGACCAAGGTTCTTTAGAAACTGACCAGATCTCCTTGGACAAGGATATCCTCAAGAATTTTCTATGCAAGGAAACCTTAGATTTCAGAAGGGTTTTCACAAGATTTCTATGCACGGATCCTGCTGAATTGCTCAACGAACGTCTAGTAAAGGACCTCCCCAAAGGATCTCTACCAGACATTTGTGCAAAGATCTCTGCACAGCTCCAAATCCTCTCAGGACAGGCTTCCTCCCAAACATGAACTTGAAGATTTCGCCTTCCTGAATCAACCATATCAACCCCCACCTTGACCATAACCCCAGCTCGTGTGGATGAAACTGAGGATCGTGGTGGAACTGGACGGCTACCTTGCTACAGACGCTTGGTGGAAGCCAGGGTGGGTCTTGGAGGATCTTGGAGGTGTTTCAACGGGTTATGGGTCCCTGTCCAGGATTCACAGTGACACACGCAGTGACTGCAACGTTTGGGGAGTGCTGCGATGTGCTGCTTGAGGTGCGCGTCTATGAAGCTTCGTTGTGCTTTGGCAGCTGGAGTTTAGTAGAACTGGACAATGATACCCCAATCACCTGGTACCCAGACATGTTTCATCATGTTTCCCACGTTGAAAACCCTTCTTTGGGGAAGCGATGCGGTGGAAACTCGCACACCTACCTTTGATTTTAATGAATATCACTGGGTTCGGGCTGCACAATGAATGAAGCCCAGTTGTACTTCCGCACCCCAAATTTGTTGGCTTTAGGGAACTTCTACCCTGCAAAAGTCTCATTTGATCTCATGAAGACGATGATATTTTCTGAAAGTATTCTTCCAAAGCCGCCCAACAACAACTTATCTATAGCCATTTCCTCACAAATCTTCGCCCAGAGAAGTTGAAGCCTACCAGATCTTGAAGATCTGGCAGCGCCAAGGCACGAGTTGCGCGAACAGATGGGCCGCGTGCATCGCCTCGTCCATGGGTTTGGATTCTTTCAGGCTGGGTCCCGGGTTGTGACGCTTGAGATCTATCAACTGGGTGAGGCTGTTTTTGGCATGTTTTCAGGCATTTAAGGGACTTTTCCTGATGCATTAGGCTGGCTGAGTTTCTGTGATTGATTGACCAGGTATGAAATTTACAGGCACAGAAAGCGCCACAACCTGTGGTGCTTGAGATTGGAAGCGCATGGTATCTCGAACAAACTCCATGAAACTCATTGGCCTTTCAAGGCTCAAGAACCCTCTTCAAAGAAAGAGTTTGGCCCTAAAGCATCCCGAGGGACCTTTGTTCCAGTCTCGGTCCGCAGAGCCTTTGAAATGGCTCCTGCAAGAATCTTCCAGCTTCGTGCTTTATGGCTTTCCTTGGTCGTGCTTGGTTTGGGAACTCATTGGTGCTTCCAATCCGTCATACGGTCCAATCTTTCAAAGTCCTGTCCAAAATCGGATTCGCTGTGCACCGTGCACTCGAATGCAGATGGGAGATGCAGCTTTCTGTGGGAGGTTTGGGACGAATGGTATGTTGACCAAGTTGTGAGCTACACTGAGCCTTTGTATGATCAGATCCCGTGGAAATGGCTGGCCAAAAGGTTCCACAACTGGAGTAAGCGCAAATTCTGGGCTTCCCGTTCAGATGTGCCGGCTTCAAGAGACTTGATGCACTCACTTGCAGTTGTGCGTGTGATTCACCAGCCAAAGCCTGTGAGTTTCTCGTACATGAAGAGTAGAAATTGGACACAACACGTTTTTCCCAAGCTGGCATTGGCAATTGATACAGTCGGAAGAATCGTAGTTGAAGCAGGAATCGCAGTTGATACAGGGGTGAGTCTTGCTAAACATCGGAGATCAGCCCTTTTTCTGCAAAACGCCAGAAGTTCCTATCGTCCTCACAGGCACCGGGACAAGAAGATCAAGGCTGAATTCGGGGCGGCTCAGACAGCGACCAATCTTGATGTGAGGGACCTGAACGCGACAGAATTCAAAGAGGCCATCAAGGGCAAGGAAAAGTGGATCGAAAGAGAAGTCAAGAAAGCAGTTCCCCTCTGGAAATTTCAACATTTCCTGATAGATCGGTGGAACTGGAAAGACTATAAAGCTGCCCCTTGGAAAAAGTCCAACTGCAATCAGATGGTCAGAGAAGTGTTCGAGTTCTTGGAAGAAGAGATGTCTGAGTCAGAGTCTCGGTGATGCCCTGTGTGTGGAAGGAAGTAAGCAAGGCCAATTTTTTAAATAAAGTGCATAGTTGTGCGGAGGTTCCGTGCAAGTGCGAAAAGAAGCTCAGAACCAGGGATCTGCAGCAGAAGGCAGAAGGGATGTCGCACATATGGTTGGACTTTGTTTCGGAATGTTTCGGATCCATGTGACTTAGATGATGGCCATCAAGTGACCAGCACTATTCGCCAGTCACTCTGGAACAGGCAGAGACACAACTTGGGAACTTGGTACGGAAGCACTTTAGATGTGGGATCAGAAGTCGGAAGTGCTATCCATTGGGCAGTATATTCTTTGAATCCTGAGAGAGGGCCCGGAACATAGCAATGATACATGGTCTCTCGAACTAAACTTGGGAATGAAAAGGGGTGGCAAGGGGCAAAAACATGCAAAAACCACATATTTCCTCCACTATGGGAGTAGTTACTGTACTTACATGCTTTGGGTATTTGCAAACCGTCAACCTCAATGAAACTCATGGGACTTCCGATGGCCTTTCAAGGCTCAAGAACCCTCAAAGGGGTTGGTCCCGGCATCCCAAGGGACCTTTGTTCCAGTTCCACGGAGCCTCTGCAATGGCAAGAGCCCTCCGGCTTCGCGTTCTATGGCCTTCCCTTGTCATGCTTGGCATTGCCCATTGGTGCATCCTTCCCAGGTCCTTCATGTTTCCAAAATCGCATTCGTCTTACACCGTGCTTTCGAAAGCAGATGGGAAATGCAGCTTGGAGCCGCCGGAAGATTTTTGTGGTGTTGAAAAAATTGAGTGCTACACGGAGCCTTTGTATGATCAGTTCCGCTGCAGGTGGTTCGCTAGGCTGTGCCACTTTTTGAGTAGAGCCAAAGTCTGGGCCCTTCGCAGGGATGTTCCGGCCTCGAGAGACTTGTTCCACTCGCTTGCAATCCTGCATGTGTGGTATTTGACTTATCCTTCTCTTATCAAAAAAGGGGATATTTTCATCAAGTTTGAATTCGGGGCGGCTCAAAAGACATCGCAAAATCTGGACATAAAAATTTTGAACGCTTCAGAATTTGAAAGCCTCACCGAAGGCAAGACAAAGTTAAGCGAAAGAAAATTCACATTCCCAAAGCCCCTCTGGGCACTTCAGAATTTCCTGAAAAATCAGTGGGAGCAGAAAGACTACAAAGCTGCCCCTTGGGAGAAGTCCAACTGCAATCAGATGGTCAGAGAATTGTTCCTTTATCTGGAAGATTTCCGATGCGGACACGTATCGGCTTTACGATGAGTTCGTTGAAATGATGAGCAAGCGGCAAGCGGATAAAATTACAATGACCTCACTGCGACGTCATAGGAATGGTGGTTAGTATGGGTATATAAGTATCATTAAGTATCCCCAAATGGCTTGAAAATTTCAGGCTGGTGAATTATGGTAATTTATCCAGATGATTTGTTTTTGATACTTTCTTGTTTTCCCAGTGCAAGTTGGCAGTGCTTGGTCCTGCGGAGTTGGTCTCACATGCACGAGTTGGTCTCACATGCACGGCCACATGGTAAAAAGACTTGGTGATGCACACATGCCTCCCGATGTTCACCAATCTTTATACGAATTCCACACCTAGACCTACACAAAAAACACAAAAGTTCTGAGATGATTCATGCTAAAGCAGCAACCTGTCTGTATCCAATTTGAAACAGGTGGCTTCCTGTCTCTACCAAAACTAGATATAGATGAACGAACATATCTTTCATAGATGCTGCACTCCGCCAGTCAACACACCTCAAGAGTACTGTACTTCACAGTCAACAGACCTTGGCTGACTAATTTGCAAAACAGATCAGTTTCACTTCAACTTCAACGCAGCTTTTTTGCATTACCAATCGCGACTGTAGCTGACATTATACTCCCAATTCTATCCCATTATATCCGCATTGCACCACCATTCTTGCTGGTTAAATTCCCGATTTTTGTTGGTGAATTGCCATAAATCAAGCCCTAGGCCCTTGTGAATCTGCTGCAGCCAGGCCTGTGTGGATTTCATGGACAGTGATACGCCCCTGCGTCCATTGGTGGAGATGAGGTGTGTTTTTGTGCTCTGCAGGATGATGCCCCCATAATTTCGTACGACTTCATACGTTGTCCATATATATATATATACACATATATATATACACTCAAGATGCTCAAGGCGGTCATGGAGATGACAGTGATATGACTAAGACTAAGACAATATATACTTATACTTCCACTCCACATCACTCAACTATGCCAACGCGTTGAATTAACAGCTTGATGATTCAACCATTCCAACGGCAGCAAATAATAGGATCGACTCAGCTGTGGTTTTTCAAACGTCGCTGACCTGGGGTCCTGGGGTCCTGGGGTCCTGGGATCATCCCGTTTAGAACTGGGGTCCGCTAGGCCTCCAGCATGGTTTCAACTGCTCCGTGCCTGCACGGGATTGATGCGTCTGTTGGCGCTGACGACCGCGGCTTACTTTGCCTCTTGGCCTCGAAGCGGAGTGAACCCGCAGGGGTGGACAAACAACCCGGTGTTTGCTTGTTTAAAAACCAGAAGGGAACCCAGAAAAGTAAATCAACGTACATAACATCAACTTCTGAATGGCATGTTATTAATAGTTACCATCATCATTGAATCATACTATATTTTCCGCCGGATTGCATTCCAGTTCCTCCAGTTAGTTATGCACTGAGATTTCCACTTCCAAGGCCATGCAATACTTCGTGCGCTATGGACCTCAGGTGCTCCGACAGAGCGAGGTTTTTGGCCTTGACAAAAACTCGCATGGCCTGAGACGAACTTTTCCATGGAGTGAGCCATTGTAATTCTACCCAGATTGATACAGTGACTGTACGATACTGAGTGGTTGAAAGATATTTTTTTGAGATGGGTGTATTGAATTTTGATGACTCCAGAAATGCTCCAAGAAGCCACAGTTCTTCAATGTATTTCTATGTTCGTGGGTCATAGCCGATATCCCATTTTGTTTGGCCATTTTGTTTGCACAAGTGTGCATATTTTGTCACTTATGTCTGCTGCTTACATTCTATTTTTTTTCCGAGTAAAAGTCCGAGCTTTTGCACATAAAGGCCACGTTTCTGCTGGTAGATTCCAAGTTTTTGGAATAAAGACTTTTTTTTTGGGGTAGACATCTTAATTTTTCGCATCTTCCGTTCTTGAAAAGCCAACTTTCTGTTGCATGGCATGGGGATTGAACCAACGCGCCCCACGTGTGACCCCCCCAAAAAAGTCTCAGTAAAGGTCTAACAGGCTTATTATAAGTTACCCTCTGGTTAATTAATATTTTTACGGGATGTCATTAGGTAGTATCCGTAACCTCCCTGTAAAGTGTGCCCTGTAGTCTACTATGTATACCACCTGACTTTATGGCTCAAGGAAAATAGTGTGCGTGCTTACTGGCTGATTGTGGCTTGATTTCCTACAAATATAGGTTATCAGCCGTATCGCCAGATACGTTCCTTTTGTAAGTAAATGTCTGCCCCCTTTGGAAAACCATCTCCAGAGGGCTCACGCGACTCCGGGATCCATCAAGCCATGGCGATCGAGGATGCAGACAATGGCCAAACTGGAAACAATGCACCAAGTCACACAACTTCCCAGACTCCTTCAGAACGCTCCCGCAGTGATAAACGTGAGGTCCGTGTCCCGCTTCCACCAGGCGCCGTTGTGCCCCAAAGTGGAGCCCAGAGGTTTTCACACCGTGGATATGACTTTCACGCATCCCGGGAGGGCATGCCTGCCGGCTCACATCATGTACAATCCAACACTGTCGAGGTACACCACCATGAGATGACTGAGGTGAATAACACCATGAATCTACGACAGGTACAAAACAATGAAGTGTACGTGAATTCACACGACCCTGCAATTACACAGATGGTTGAGCAGGTTGCCGAAGCACGTCATCGAGAGGCATTAGCCAACACTGAACACATGGTGCAATCGATGATGTCCGAAATGAGCGGTAGGTTCCATGCAGAAGAACAAGCTGCGAGTGCCCGGATGCAACAGATGATGTTGCTCGCAGAGAGTCGGGAAAATCAATTTCGTGAAGAATTGGCCCAACAAGGGGAGGTATATAAAAGGGTTTTAGACGGAAATGCCAGACAGTCAAATGCAACGAAGGAACAACAAATCCAATCACTCAGGGATCACTATGAACGCCAGGATGAACATCGTAAGATGCAGATGTCCCAACTTGAATCCATCATCAAGCAACAGAGTGAGCAAATAAAGGCCCAACAGTTGCAAACCGAATCCATGAACATGAGGATGAGTAAACTCCTTGACACAATAGGCCCAATGCCGATTCCAATTGTCCAGACCGCCACTGCCATAATACCGCCGTCCACTGAGGTCAAGTACTCTGCACCGTTGCCGTCATTTGCATCAGCAAGTGCGTCTAAACCAGCGGAACCCAACCAAGATATATGGGAAATGCTTGACCCGGAAGGAAATGCACCAGTGGATAATAAGGATCCTGTATCTGAGATAACCGGTCTTAGGTCCCCAACGTATCCACCAACAAGTGTTGCACCATCGGATGCAGGTGGAAAGCCACCAGGACCTGACCCTCCAGATGATGACAAGGACTCACAGGCAGATCGCGACAACAAACGTGGTAAGGACAATCGTGGGAAGAAGCCCCCTCCGGGGAGCCGACGCCCACCGGGAGGTGGGCCTGGGGACGGTGATGATGATGATGGAGACGGGGATGGGTACAATTCTGATGATAGTGACCATCGATTCATCCGTCGCATGAGGGCCATGTTCGGCAGTTCCAGGGACCAGTCACATGAAAAGAACAAGGTCAAAGAAGCCGACACTGTGAAAGTTCCAGCTTTTCCCCATGCGGAGTCATACAGAAATTGGAGGATTCGCACAAGGGAAGCTGTAATGTCAGCATCTACTGACCCTGATAAAGCATTTGATTGGATAAGTGAGACCTGGAAAGAAGGCCAAACAATCGGGGCTCTTCGTGATGTAGGCAAGTTCACCACACTGGATGCCAAGTTGCTGTCCGCGCTCACCAATATTCTCACAGGTGATTTCGCAAGAAAGGTTGACACTTATAAAGAGACTGAAGCAACAAACCATCGTTATGTGAGGGGCCGTCAAGTACTGTTTATGATGCATGAACATTTCAGTACAAACATCAAGCATGGAGCGACCTACTCACTACAGGATTTGTTCAGTGTCAAACTTAAGGGTGACAACCTACGCGGATTCATCAGCAATTGGGATCAAGTGATGGCTGGTATCCCCAAGATTCCTGAGATTAGCATTCTGGAGACTCTGTTCTTTAACCAAGTCAAGACCAGTAAAGCAATAGCACACGACTTGCAGGAATATCATCGTGCTGAGGATGGGACCGAAAAGAAGTCCTACGATTTCCTAGTGACAGCAGTTCGCCGCTACTTGGATAGGGAACGACTCGAGTCCAATCGTGAACGAGTTGCCAGGACCCTCGGTGCCTCGTCGTCCAGCGCAGCTCCGGCTGTGGGTGAGAAGACTGGGTACATTCCAAAGGGATACTGTGTCAAGTGGAATAAAGGGACCTGCACGAATGATGCCTGCCCATTCAAACATGAAAAGCCTCCACCAAAGAAAGACAGAAGTCAATCACGACCCTCATCCGACCGTGGCAGATCATCGTCAAGGGGTAAGAACGATAAGAGCAAGAAGAAGCAGCCATGCAAGTTTTGGAAACAGGGAAGATGCAACAGAGGCAATGACTGTAGGTTTAGTCACGAGGGTAAGCAAACCAAGTCTCCTCGTGCTGCCACTCCTGCCAGGCCTTCGTCCAATGACTCGAAAGGATCCAGACGAAGGAACAGCAGAAGTCCAGGAAAAGGCAGGGACCGCTCGCCAAAGCAGAAGGGATCAAGGAGTCCCAGGAATAGCCGCTCCCCAAAGGGGAATAGAGGCAAGCCTGACACTCCCAAAGCTTCCCCAGCAGCCGTCTGCCTGATTGCCTCGATGTTAGCATCCGTATCCAATGCATGCCTTATGCCACCCATTGATGTGATCAGTTGCCCAGCAGTGACATTTGACACCAATCACGAGGTGTATCAAGTCATTGCCAAGGGGGACCTTGAGCCTATCAATCCAGCTTCAAGGAGATACAAGAGAACTTTTCCTATCAACTATCCGTTTGATTTTGACCGAAGAGACGTAGAGGACGCATGTTTGTCAGCGAACATGTTGGCAGGAGCAGTCAAGAATTCGTTAATGAACAATGTCTGCAAATGCAACTATGAATGTGACACCATGTTTGGTTGTGATCACTGTATTCCAAAGGAAATAGTTGCAATGCCTGCCAAATCCGAGGAGTACGTTGATGGATGTTTCGAAGCCTCTATCGATTGGATTGTTGATACCGGTAGTGCACAAGATTTACTCACTGATCACCATGTACCGGACCATTATGGTTATTTTTCCGACAATCCAATCCGTCTCATCACTGCAAATGGGGAAAGTTCATCCATGAAGCAGGGCAAGGTCAAAGTCCCAGAGCTGAATGCTACCGTGTCACCGTACCTGGTGCAAAGTTCACCTCCTGTTTTATCAGTTGGACTCAGGTGCGTTGAGGATGGGTTTGACTTCGTGTGGAGGGGCTCCAAGAATGAGAAGCCGAAATTAGTTTCACCTGATGGGAAGGTCATTGAACTTGAAGTCAGAGACTATGTCCCATACCTATGTTCCAAATCAAATCAACCAAGTGTGTCCACAGTGGCAAAATCAAGCAACAATGGTTCTCCCATGAAGAGAGTTAAAGTGATGGCTAGTTCATCAGGATCCGAGTCAGGCTTCATAGAAGAGGAGGATTCTCCCCCGTCACCAGACCTTTACGACGAAGAATATGAAGATGACGAACCTGCAGTTGTAGGAGGTAATTCATCAAAGTTTGACGATGACCTTGTACCCGACATCTCAGGCGATCCCGGTGCCGATGCGCCCTCCGATGAAGAAGGCAATGCACCAGCTGACCGGGAGGTCCAGCCTGATGATGTTGATGATTCAAGGGATGAAGTCCGTCGTGACCCGGAAATGGAAAGACGTAGGGAGAGGGGTAAGGCCGCACTCAAGGCTGAAGCTAAGAGCAAACGACACATGCTTACCCATATTCCCAAGAATCCATACTGTGATGTCTGTACAAAGGCCAAGATGTACAAGCCACCCGGTTACTCTAAAGGAGGATCATCCATGGTCGATGCAAAGAAGTTTGGGGATCATGTCACAGGTGACTATCTTATTGCCAAATCGGACCCTGAAACCGGTGTTGATGGAGATAGGGTCGCAATGGTACTTAAGGATGTCGCCACTGATTTTCGATATGTTTACCCCGTTGCACGCCGTGACACTTCCAACACCACACTGGCAATGAAACATTTCGTTGATGACTTGGAGAAAATTGGAATCTTTTACAGTGATAATGCCCCAGAAATTGTAGCAGCTATGAGAGCTATGAAGATCAGGCATCAAATCAGTAAAGATTACATTTCGACATCCAATGCCATTGCCGAACGAGCCGTGCGGTCCACATTGGAAGGAACGCGTGCCAATTTACTTCAAGCAGGACTTCACCATGGATATTGGCCTTATGCTGCCAGACATTGGTGCATCATGCATGACACGGCACCAGATGGGACTGGAAAGGACACACCATGGAAACTGAGGTTTGGAACAGACTTCGAAGGACCACTTATCCCGTTTGGAT